GTTTGACTTAATTACATTTAGTATGATTCATTCTATTTCCAATTTTTCCCTCAAAAGATCCCTGTTAACCTGCTAACAAGCATAGCACAATGGCAAGTAAAGCTGCACGCGTACTGAAGTTCGAAGGTACAATTATAGCCAACGAGATATCCAAATTCTCAACGAATTGTTCATTCGTGTGAATGGGAAGCCCGGGTGCAGCGGAGAATGAGCTTTGTGCCCAAAAACTGGCCCTGTATATGGGAGGAATGCGAGCGTAGCCAGGAGAGGAGGTGTGTGTGGATGGTGGTCCTTAGGGACTGTAAACTGAGTTCACCTCAGTATGTTATTTTCGGTTCCGGCGCAATAAGTGTTTGGGAGCACACCGGGTACAATAATACTTCTTTGTTCTGAGGTTCAGCATATCACATGCAGGCGTGATCTGATTAATCATCCAATATCCTTTGATACTACTTTTTTTTTTTTTGGGGGGGGGGGGGGGGGTTCCGAAGTAACGATTGTACAGTACGGATAAGAAAATACTGCAAAATGGGAATAGAATGATATTCTCTTTAACATTCGTTTCGATGAAAAATTATTACTGCCACAAGTCGGGGAATCAAACCAGCCATCAGCTTCCTTATAAGCCCTCAAAACAGAAAATTATCCACAGTTCCGCCAGCGAGTGGCTATCGACGGAAAGCACATAACTTGAACTACTTCCAAGACCCCCACATTCGCAATCATTTTTATAAAATTTACCGTTTCGGAGTGAAAAAAAACAACAGCAGCGTTCGATAATATCGGCAACACATATTCAAAATTTTATGCATCTAAAGCGCTACTGTCTTATACCACTGCCTCAAGTCTACCACAATTCAGAAAACTTAGAAAAGCACAGGAGTGCTTTTTTTTAAGCTCAATCTACAGGAGACGAGGAAACTGAACGAACTTTAAGAGGCCCGCAAAGAATTGTTGAAAGTTCTTCGGCAAGTTTCTTGTAGTATTCGGCACTGCTTCCAAATGTCGATTTTGTCACCGGATCACTAACACCCAGACTCAGTAAATAGGTCTTGAATCGTATTGTCTGCAAAATTCACTAAAAATATTCAAAAAAAGAAACAAAAATAGAGGCAAAACCCGCGTCCAAAATAACGTCCAACTCCATATTAGCGGGCAGATTTAACAGGTTTTATAGCGAATATGCAAAAACAAAGAAAAACAAATTGTAATAATGAGCAAAGACAAGAAATTTCTCGAACGATCTTTAAGCCAGTATAAAACTTAAGAACTGGCCCTACTGTATCAGCGAATAGTTACATCTAATTGGAACAAACAATACAGATTAATAATAAAAGAAATTACATAAAGGGGCATTATTAAGGAAAACAGAAAAAGAGGCTGAATTCTGAGTATTCACAACATTAAAAATTAAAAAAAGAAAGCCTTTCCCTCTCTCTCATCAATACAGCCTCACATTCTACTGAACGTACATCTCATCAATTTGCAAGGAAAACGAGAGAACAATTTAATACAGAAGAATGTTTCAGATCAACGAAGTAAAAAAAAGAAACTGCAGAAAAGGGCATTATTAAGGAAAACAAGGAAAGAGGCTGAATTTTGAGTATTCACAAAATTAAAAATTAAAAAAAAGCCTACTTCGTCATCAGTTATTTCGCCTTTTTTTGCTCGAAGTTTATCGGTGATGGCTTTCGAAAGAGCTACCATATCCCGTGCGTATTCCATCAAACGGCTCATATCTTCGAAAGCCTAAATCGTTTTCGGAAAATTTCAAAGTTTAAATCACAAAATTTGATAAATCCCCTTAGTAACCAATGTTTCAGAAACATAGCAGGAAATCGCAGAAAGCTCGAAACAGTAACCATCCACTGACACGAACACTAATAGTTTTCCTTCCCGAAAAATAATTACAAGCAAACTGACTGTGGTTTTCACTCTCTTTCTCTAAATAGCTTATAATTGACGTGTTCACATGATGGTTAGGGGGCTGTACTGATGATTACCACCCCCACCCTCCCCCACCACACACGTTACACTGTCTGTTTTTACAGCTAAGGGATGAAACCAGATAGAACAATATCTACATATCCCCTGTACATGACTCTCATATCATGCCAACTATCCTCCCCATCACAATCCATTAGTAAGTTCCACCTTCTCGCCCTTAAAATTTGAGGATATCGGTCGTTCCGTATTTTCTACGGTTTGCATGGGGCGCTACTTTAAAAGGTACAGTTCGACCCTACTAATAGCCGCAAAAAAAAACCTCTTGACAATTTTACCCGCTTCGGCCGTCCTACTTGGGATGTCCATTTTTGGTTCGGCCTATGGCCCCTAACCTCCATTCCCTGGCATAATCCCAAACAAAAAAATTTATCATAGAGGGCCTAATTGCCTCAAAGATGATATAAAATCCAATTATCACGATGAGAACAAAACGAATCATTACCTGGCTGATCGTTTCGTGGGTACGATGATGATTATCGGCCAATCGTTTCTCAATGCCTGCAATGCCCACCGCTCGTGGCAACATAGTATTGCTATTTCGAGACTGAAAACACCCAGCGTGCATCCTGCTTGGAAACTATGATTATCGGTAATAGAGGAAAGTGATCAAAAATTAGAGACTCCTACAAAAATAACAAAAAACCAAAAAAAAGAAGACATACAAGAACAGGGGCTGAGCTTGAGCAAACTCCAGAAAGTGTTCGCTCCCACATGTTCAATCCAAGCGCCTCTTTGTATTTCTCGAAGAACTGTAAAAAGAGTATTGCACCAAAAAAAGAGAAAAAAAAAAACTCGAAAGCCACTTACAAAATGAAATATTAGAATTTAACATGACAAAAAAAAAAATTTGAAAAATCACAAGAAAAAAAGGACAATTTTGTTTGAACCAGAAAAAAACTACATTGCATAGAATCTGGGTTTAACGTAAGTGGAACGGTAGTGGGCAATAACTCGCATGTCCCTACAAGTTATCCCATCCAGTTGTTAGTGCACGAACGCAAAAGAAGCTTCGGTAAATTTCAAGTTTAATAAAAGAACTGAGATTGGCTGCCACCACCGCGAGAAAATATTCCCTTAAAATTTCAGCTTTCTAGCTTTTCTGGTTTCCCAATTAGCAGCTTACTCGCAAAAAATTTTCACGAGCCCGCACGTGGGAACCACGTGGAAACGAGTGTTCAGTAGATTAAGTTCCCAAAGTTTTAGCCTTGTAGCTTTTGTAGGAGTTGAGGGGGAAAATCGGTATAGACGCACACACAGGAAACCCCTCGATAATATGCATTTCCTGCACTGCATCGATGCAAAAGACGCATAAAAAACCACAAAAAACTGAAAATTTTTCAAAAAAAAAGAGACGATTGAAAAATTAACCTCATCCTCGCCTCCATTTCGGAAGACAAGACGAATGT